TTCCTATCACAAATATCTGTCATTTATTTCGGTAGGAAAAGTGTAAAATCGTAATTTTGTCGGTGAGTAAAATTGGGTACTATTAGAATGCAAATCTAGTGCACGAGTAAAATTATTTTGTGATATCTTATATTTTGTATGAGAAAATTCGACATGAATAGATTTTATGGCTTTGAACAAGCATTCATATATAGATGCATATTCTCACTGTTTATGTAAGCATGCAATATCACGCTTTTTTAAAGAAAAATCTTTGATAACATTGACTCTAAGCAAATATTTTCTACTTTAATTTGCAATTGCAATCTTCAATTATTTGACTGATTCACGGATAGAATGTAACGAATGTAACACGAAATATACGACCTTATAGAAATATCAGCAAGCAAAAAGTTTAGCTTATCATGGGCATATGAGGGGAATATCATTTATGTCTACAAATATGTTTATTAAAGTACGTAACTTATATTACAGGCCAAGAACACAGTTATTTGAAATACATTTGTATTATACAATAATTCGATGTGTAGTATTTATCATTATTATATTGATGTTGCGAATGTTATTCAAGTTGTGTTGGCACTTTTTGTTATAACACAATTAAACGATGTTGATTATTAAACATACTGTTGGTCTACATAATATCAAAATATACGCCGTTTTCTTTCTTTTTTGTTTCAATTAAAACAACTTTGAAACATCCAGAAAATCTACGATCAGCTTTGATCTCGTGGTTTGGCGATATTTTGTTATTGTCAAAGCAAATTGCTTTGTTATTTGTCAAAGCAAATTGCTTTCAAGACATTTTTAATTCCACAAGTACTGAATTTTGCTTAATATTTATTGCTTTAAAGAAACTACAAAAGTAATATTGAAAATAAGTGATTATCATCAGATAATCAAAGTTGATTGGATTTAGACTGGTCTCGGTTATTTACTGTTAACTTTAGATTTTGTTAAAGGTCACTCGATGATATACACTAGCCAATTTTATTTCGGTCTTCTGTAGGAGTTTGAACATTGCTATTTTAATATAGCTATGTAATTTGACGTAAAAAAATATTAATTGCACATTTACGAGTAATTAGTTTTGTTTTTGGGAAGATGTATGTTCATTTGATGAATCAAGTATTTATCAAAATAATTGCCTACCGACTGCAGAGCTGTTTGTGTAAGAATTTGAGTTTACTTACCGAAATACGACAAGTTCGTTTAGAAACACATACATCTTAAAGTGTTCCATTTTTCAAGATAAATAACCCTACAAGTTATTATGTTGTCATCGTTATGCAAGCTTTGCTAATATTTTTATATGGCTTTGCATGGAAAACTAAGAACTAACATAATATGCAAGTTTACCAGTTTTACTTCGGTCGAGTATCTTTTTTTAAAGATACTTCTTGTTGGTAACTTCTCCCCATACATGACAATAAAATATCAAAGTATTTTATCATCGTTTTTTATAATTCCCCTCACAAAATTATTCAGAGATAAAGTTGGCATAATTTCCGTTACAACGAGGCACAGTTATGCCAAAGTGTCAAAAAGGTAATCAAGGATGCCAGATGGAAAACCTGATGTTGTGTTGTAACATTTTTGGTTTATAGCAGGTGTTATCACTCAATTATTATCGGCAGTATGTTAATATACCAGATACCGTGCTGTTTAATCACTTATTGTTTCGATAAAACAATCTATTTTTGTCATATCCTTTTGACATTGTATAAATATTTTAATACTTTTGGTGATAATAAAGACAATATACACGTGTTTTTTGTAATCTTAATTAATATCGTAATAATAACAACATGTATAGGATAGTGTAAAGCAAGATCTTTGATATGGTTTCATAAAATTGATATCTCACAAAATTTAGTTTAAATTTGACGAGAAACAATGAAATAAAATGGATATGGATTGGGAATCTTTCAATTTGTTTTTGAGAAGATCCTCCTAAAATGGTTAATTACAGAGCAGTTTTTTTTTAAAATAAGATAAAACAGCCATTTTAAATAGACCGTTAAATATTCGTTATAACAATTTTATACGTTCACTTTAGTTTACATTTTTCTGAAGAATTTAAAAGTTCAAATCATTCAAAAGTCTAGCAGAAGGCATATCAACTTAACAGCTTCCTTCTTGACATATTCGTTATTATCAACTCCTATTACAAATATTTTTAATTGATACGAAATGAACATGAGAAGTATTTATATCATAACAGTCAGTGCTAGAATAAAAGTGAACAGTGATATTATTGAATGTATCAACTGTTACGGATGATACATACATATTCTGATCAAACTATGTGATACTTAATGTGATCAATACAGTACAAAAAGCATTGTACAAATTCTAAAAATAAATGTCAAACATAATGATGCAGTATTTTCTCCATTTAGAACTCTTGTCACATTTTACATTTATACATACAAAGAGAATGAATTATCAGGAACAAAAGTAGGAACGCCATTGTTTTCAAAATTATTACATTCCATCCCACATATCTAGTCAGGTAGTACGCCTTAATGTTAGATAAATTAAATCGATACTTTATGTTTCTAACAACAAACAGTTCAAACAATTTTATATTAAACCATATACTTATACTTGCACCATGCACGCTTAATTTGTCATTCTTTTAAATACGTCTGATTATACAATTGAATACATGTTGCTATTATTCATCCAGCATTTAAGAAATAGACGGTTTCAAAAAATAAACAAGAAAGTAGCGAAAAATACACACACCTGAATATATTTTATTTTACTTATTCAGATGAAACAAAGAATCAATTTCTTAAAGTATAGAGCTTATCTAAACATGTCGATCGCGACATCCTATACATAAGTATAGCTATTATCAAAGTATTTATCTGGAAAACTAGGAAGAGACACGAATGTGTTCGACAGACTGTTAAACACAGGGTATTCATGTAGTTAAACCCATCACTTAATTAAATTGAACTGTTCATTCATTTGTGAAAGACATAGAGTGATCTTTAAAAAGACATAGAGTGATCTTTAACCAAACATTTTCATAACACAATCTGTATTAAAATAATTTTCTTTAACGTCTAAGTCAAATTTTTCAATAAGAAATGAATGCATATATTTTAATGATTACATATAATATGTACAAATATTTGCAGTACATATGCTACATATTCTTTGATGTTTGAAAATCGTTTTATACGCATAATTATATACATACATGTATATATAATATCTCTTAAGTATGGTATACAACCTCAATTATAACATACAGGATCTTTAAGTTCAAGCTGATACACTATGTTATGTGATGTCTTAAAGGTCTTAATTATGATAACTCTTTTGTTTCATATTAGTAAATTAATTAATTGATCAATAAAAATAAGTAATTGAAAATTAGTAAGTAGATACAAAATCAAGTAAATAAATAATGTCCATATCTATTCGGATATAACGGCTTATCAGTAAAGCTTATCTGGTTAAAATAAAATGCCTGTCATTTTATATAGGACAAATAGAGATCAAAACCAACACAAATTTAGATATCAATACATGTTAGCTTCGTCAGTTGGTACATAAAGGAAAATGTTATTGTTATTATTGGTGTATACATTTTATATAAAAGAGGATGTTGGTCGAATTTTAAATGTGAATGTACTAAAAATATAAAGAATCATTTTGATTTTTCTTTTACATTTAGAGTTTCCATAAAAATACATCGAAACTGCTTATTATAACCCAATTATCATTAAAAGGAAGTCAATTAATATCATTTTTAATTGTGAAGATTTTATAGTCGAGCTATTTAATAAATGTATCATTATCGTTTATCATCATTTATTTACACAGGTATGTCATAAATTTGGCGTATTCCTGTTAACAATAAAGAGCTGTTTTACTGAAGTGTCTAAAGGTAATAAAAGATGCCAGATTGAAAAACGGATTCCATGTTGTTTTATGACGTTTTTTGCTTACAGCAGGTGTTATCACTATAATTAAGAACAATGTGTTGCATTGTTGTTGTTGTTAGTGTTTATACACATTGAAGATTCGTCAAATTAGTTTATTTAACAATTCGGAAGGAATAACTGTCTAAATATTGTTTTAAATTTTTTAATTTATTTAATTTATATAGAGTAAACACGGATAGGTAAATCGATGTGTGAATTGCATATGAATAGATTATTACAGATTCATTTTCATAATTTTCGTTGTTTTTATTATATTTATTATTGCTATTATTGGTGTATAATATAATTATTTAATTCTGAGACTTTTTCATTTTGCTGTCTTGTTCTCTTTTTTAGAAATGTTTCGTTCTCGTGCTGTTTTGAAAAATGATTAATATCTTATACACAATAAACCATGTTAAGTGTTATCAAATGTAATTCATTTGATAAGATCTGACGATACATAGATGTTAAGTGTTATTTCAAGTTAATTCAGATACCGTTAATTTAATGGAATGATACAACGATTCCTCGTTAGTGGATTTGAGGAAAACAACTCAATTAAACAGAAATCGTTTACAGAACTACGATGTTTTTTGAACATTCTTGAAAATGAAAAATTGTATTAAATAAGTTTTTTGTTGAGACTTTGTTAAAAAAAAATCTTTTACTAATGCATAATATTACTCACAGGTTTAATCGAAATAAATCTATGGTAATGTTACTTGAGGCTGTAATAATTTCTGTCATTTTTTCCTGTTTATGAATTGATTTTTTTAAAGCTTTAGAAAACACGATCGATATCAGGTCGAACTTTCTGTGCCATAAAAATATATCAAGTTTATCTCTCATTACGCAACCGAGTGTCCTTACCGCCCATTTAATGTCAAACACATATGTGATTCGATCCATAAAAGTATTGAATTTAAAATAGGAAAAAATGAGATAAAACAAAACTATAGAAATAACATAATTATGTGGTAAGAATACTGTCTCAGATTTTGCGTAGGATATGGAACTATTTTAAGTTCTAAAGAATAAAGTTGTCTTACTTACCTGCTACAATAATTCGTATTAATTCCAATGTTAATAATCCAAACAATGCGATAAAGTGATGCATTATTCACTTTTATGACGTTAGATTTTATTCCTTCACTGCACACAAAACGCGCGAAGCCGACTTTGTAAAATCCAGATTTAATCAGGAAATATGTTCCGATTCACTGCATGCTTTAATTCCGTTTTATTTTTATCTCTGGCTTAATTTTAAATTCATCTTCCTTGGGGGAAATGGTGTGTTAAATTCTGCTCGGTCAGGGTGATTTATTATTTTTACACATGAAACGCTTCGGTAAAGAAATATTTCTGTACCAGGTTCGTCCAGGACTCCAATAAGAACATCTGTCACAATGAATTTAGATCCACGGATAACATACATTTAACGTGTTCAATACAATAAAACGTGCGTCAATTCTAAAAAATAACACACACTTCTGCGGAATCAAACATTTTATAGCATTGGAAAAATTTATTATATGTTACGAATGCGAATAAAATATCTAAAACAACCCATGTTTTGTTGGTATTTTAATTCCAATAAACACAAAACATTATATGGTTCTTTACGATCCTCTAAAAGCTTGTTAATGTTATTTCCTTATCCTTAACTAGGAAGAAATAAGCACACACATCCTGATGGAACTACAAATAACCTCCCTTGAACAGCAATATCCGCGAGAATCAGTAGCAGTCTATCGCTAGGTTTGTAAATTATTATATTCTCAGACTTTCTCAGATATCATTAGCAAGTAATAACCGACTACTGTTCCGTTTCCATCATTAATGACAAGTTTTATCTTCCTTTTTGCATTTAGTTCATCGCTAATTCAAGTAAACTCATGAAAAGAGATACATAATCTTATAAAGCCAGAGGTGGCTAATAGAACTGTTTACACTGCCTTGCAATACTGCAGTTCTGATTATTAAAACTAAATTATAAATTCATTCTGACATTTTTATCTTGTACAAGATGAAGCATTTTTAAAAATGCATTTAAGACATAATTGATACGTTCCAAAATAAAATACACCAAAATAAACTCTTTTTATCTCATAATAAATCAGGCACGTCCGTCCATTAGAAAAATGAGGATGACAGAGATCCACGTAAATTGTATTTTAATATTTGAACCTCGTAAGGTCCCTGCATCATTTAGGCATAGACCGTAAACTTCATTTGATGTAATCCAGACGATTATTGAATCTTACTTCACAGACTCGTATAGGTTTCAATTTATCTTGTCTAGTTTCATTACCATGAGAGTTATTCCAGCGAGTGCATTTAAACATTATCCTTTCAAATCGACATTGATATAAAAATATCAATCTTGTACCAATTAATTCAACATGTTTCCGCTACACCGGCAATTCTCAGTAAACCAGATGTATTTCCCGAGCACTTAATGTCAGATACGAGTTTCCCTGTACTCCATTACACAAAAACTACATCAAAACGAATAAAAGCATTGGCGAAGATAGCATCACATCAATAAATCCAAATTTCATTTCAAAGTAAGTGATTAATATATTTTCCATAAGTATTATATCTGATAAGATGGGGAATTGCGATATATCTTGAACAGAAAACTGCATCGAACTTGATATTTTCGTTAGATCATTCTATTTTTTACCATATATTTAATCTCAAGACACATTCATCAAAGTATTTTCCTCTGTCAAACCGCTTGATATATTGGTAAACGAATAAAAATATACCTTCCTTTTACTTGAATAACCATCACTGCGACATTCCGAAATATATTAAAATTATAAAATCCGTCAAACCAGACGTCGCATTGTTGTCTGCGGCTCTTCAAGAAATTCTGATATACACAAAATATAAAGAAATATCGGTAACATCCTCTCTAAGAAATTACAGAATATTAGCAGAACATCACTAGTAGATTGTTACGCTACGACCGCTAACTAAGACAATTCGATTGACTCTACTCTCTAGTATGATAGTTTTCGAGTTAAGCTGGAGGTTTTTAGTATTCTAAGCCATTGCATATTGGGCTCATTTTGCTGAATGAATATAGCTACAGCAGTTTTTCCGATAGGCTTCAAAATACTGAGTAGTTCAATGGGACACAGTTATCATTGGTCTTGAGTAACTTTAGTAAAATAGCAAGTGAAAGACAAGAAATTAATACAAACGAAACTATAAGTCGAATGAACAGAAAAACATGTATTAAATGAATGAATTACTTCAGTTAGTAGTTTCTATTTTTCAAACATTTTCTTTACATTACGTCTTAATTTAAACCGAACTCAAATCACGAGAAGCTTCACAACATGAAAAGCAATTAATATGCTAATTGTGTAAGACAATGCATCTTGTTTTCGGCAACTAACAATTACAAACCACCAAGCCGATAGAAGTACATCTTAATGAATATTCATAATTTTTTTGTTGTTTACAAGTTGTATATAATGAACTCATCAATACGGTCAGTACGCAATGAACCAATAACGTATTATGTGACGTTAAACAATCAGGTAGAGACTGAATTATGAATATTATTTATAAACAAATTATGAATATTATTTATAAACAAGTTTAAGAGGAAATAAGTCGTGAGCAAATCCTTTGAGACTTTCTTCAACATCAACATTATATGCAAGTGTTACTAAAGTGAATATTGCACGAGTTTGCTTTTTCTGATTGGCTGAATCTCTCGAATTTATAGTCCCAAAATGTCCGCAGAGCGAGCATGAATACGACATTAAATACGAAGTTTACAAGTCGAACAAAATTTCGCATGTTTTGACATTTTCTTTTATTCCCGGCGGTCTGGAGACCGCAGGGTATTGGTACGCGTTTTACTTTTGAGGCATGGAGGAGCACGTGACCTGTTTTCGGTACATGGAGGAGCATGTGATCTGTAAACCGTACATGATTGGTTAATTGACCTTTTCGAAAACATGGCTAAATACCGTTTGCCGGTACGCTACGGATTTACCTCTAGGGAATTAGTCAGAGTGACACCTAATTAAGAACAAACAGCTATTACGTGATATTTCTAATTTTCTATAATTATTTTACCGTTTAAGGTGGAAAAACTTGAATGATGTGTTTGGAAATTATCAATGTTTCTTTAATATGTATCTCAAATTTTACAAACAATAAATTGTTTATACTGAAAATCTACAAAATTAAAATATTCGTAGTGGCATCTGCCAGAATAAATAGAGATATTTTCTGCGTAAACTTGTGTGTTTACTTTTTTTTGCTCGGAATAATTCAAAAATGGTGGGCCTATTAAATCATTTTCTTAAAAAGAAATAATTTTTTTATGTTCGACCTTCTCCGGTCATCAACCGTCACCAGTTTCCAAAGACCTTCTTCTATATTGATCGATTATTGTCAACTATATTCCTGATAAAACCGCGCGTTTATTTATTCCCCCCAAACAATGTTGAAAATAGTTAAATGGAATATCTTTATATCATTAAATATGTTCCCCGCAGGAAACCATTTTACTTGTAACATACCTTGTATAGCTTCTATAGAACAACATCTTATCAAAACCATAACGGAAAACCGATCAAATTAACCGTATTTTTCTCAATTAAAAATTACCTTTGTTTATCAGAGGACATAGTGGTTCTTGATTCCTTTATAATAAACAACTTATATGTTACAATTAATTAGTATTAAATAGTTATATTCTGAATCATAATTTGATTGTATTACAGTATTGTGTTTATTTGTTCCTTTCCTGTCTATAATTTTCCTATCTTTATTTTTTATTGAATTTGTTTATTTATCTTTTTTATGTTTTGCTAAAACAATCGAGGACAGTAGATAGTATTTTGCATCATTTGTTTCATAGTAACATATGGAATGGCGTGTTTCAAGCAGAATACATCTACATAATCAATAAAAATTGTTTAGTTAGGGACTTTGTCCATGTAAATTTTCTTAGATGAATTTATAGATGAACGTTACAAATTGATGTAAGTGTGTCAATCCATGAATATAAAGTTCACGTGTACTTAGGCAATTAATATTGTAAAAACAAAGGCCATTGGATAACAGTTATAATATCATAAGAAATATATGAAACATATAACACATAAAATTAAATGTTCAGCTATTCTGTAACGCAAAACTGCAGGTTGATGACTTTATCTATCAACATGGCATGCAATCCTTTTTGTACCTTATTTGGTGGCACGCAAAAGAACCTGTTTCTTTCAGCATGATACTTTTGCGGTAATACATTACATTTTATTGCCTAGGTTATGTGATTCAAAATTGTAAATATATTGACAATTAAGATACACATCAAATAAAAATGTGATCAAGTGTCTTGAGATATCTCTCCAACCAGCATTACCTTTACCTGGTCATTGAAGAGAATAATGTTTTTACTTAGTTTCCCACCATAATTAAGTTGTGTTACACGAGAGAAGTATTAATTCATATAATATAAGATTACTTAAAAATACTTTAAACAGTTCTCAAAAAATATTGCAGACTAAAACTTTATAAAATTGTTATGTTTAATTAAATTGTGTATTTTCTGAACGGCAAGTACACGATTTGTAACAAAAATTACGAAATCTTTATAATGAAAAGGTACACCAAAAAGAAACTGGTCCTAAAAAGAGGACGATACCGTGTACATGTATAATATATTACAATTGCTTTAACATATACGCATAAATGTTTTATTATTATTATAATAATAAATTTTACCAAACGCAAAAAAAAGCTTTTAAAAATCGATAAAAATCACACAGTAAGTATTTTATATTTTTGGAATACGTACACATAAAAAATTTCTCTCAGTGTTTATAAACTTGAAACTAGGAAATACAAACCGTGCGCACTTGTTAAATGACACGGAAATTCATAAGCATTTATAAACATTATAAATATTAACCCATAAAATGTATTCATTTAAACACTTCTAAAATTTATGACAGGATAAGCCCAGAATCATTTGTAAGCCATATTGAAATATTATTCAGGTCAATGATTTCCTAAACGTTAAACACTATCGATATAGATTTAGAACCTGTATTATGTCAAACTTATAGCATCTGACACTTCACAAATCAAATGATAAAACTGATATATTCTTCACTTGAATCGCCTTATGGTTTGTAAGTTATTTTGTGATAGTCCTTCAATCATTGATTTGAAAACTAGCATAGCATTGGTGTAGAAACGTGTTTGCATCCACATTAACAGGAATTGCAAGAAAATCTTTACTTAACACATTAAGCATTGATTATTTAGAACATCGACATCTTTGTATAATGTTACCATAGACAAAATGCTAAGATAATTAGCAAGACTCCATAAATAAGGCAGCGTATACATTGATATATTTCTTCGTCGGGTTTTCTATTACTATTTTTTTTGCTATGATAACATGCAGTAATAAGTGAAGTATATATGATTTTTAGTAAAGTGGTATCCGATAAAGTCTATGAATATCAGACCGAATGGAATAAACTACCGAAATGCTTACACATTTATAGAAGATTTCACTGATCATTATAACGGTTTATTCATCATACTTTATAGTTATAATAATCAACAGCTATGTGACAAGTTAAAAGACATTTTTCTTAAATATTTTCTTAAATTTTCCAAGAGTTGTTATTTTTAATTCCTTATGCTATACAATTGAACAGGTCTGTTTTGCTTACATTAATATCAAAATAAAGTTTAGTTTTTATGATTAATTATTTTACTATACATGTGCACATTACATTAAGATATATTTTTTGCTTCGGCAATGTTCGGTGAATTTACGCATACGTTCGTCACGTGCAACAACATCAGCAAAATAAACAACAATCTTTAAATTACACAGTAAACGTGAATGTATATTTTACATTTCCTTTCCTCGTCATGCATAAATATATTGTAAAAATGAACGCATATTTCATTTGATAGCGTTTTTTGTAAACAATACACCTCTAAACATTGTTTTTCGAACTGCGTAAATTACGTAAATCTGGCGATTTATGTACTCGGTGATGCTATAAATGAACAATAAAAATGATTTCTTTTTAAACAGAATTCATGCAGTCAAATATATTCATGAACACTTGTTTTTATTGTTCAATGGGCAGCAATAACCTTATCCATAACATTTCGCTGTATTTATATACAGCTTTACTCAACAACAATCCCATCTTTTTTCTTTATGCAATTTCAAGAGCTGAATTTTGCCGTGTTTTTATTGTTGAAAACAATGTTTTTATTTTACATTTCAACCTGTTAAAATATTTTAATGAAGGTTTGAACTTGTTGATTTAATTATTTAATATGATATTTTGATGATAATTTTTTTTATATTAAACAGGAATGAGTTGCCCTTATGTTTCACTGATGAAATAATATACACCTAAATAACTTACTTACGAGGGTTGTTCAAAAAGTAATAGGACTGGAGCTCTACTGTTCACATTTTTTAATTTACGCACATAAGTTTACAAGAAACAAATATCGGAACATACTCTCTGTATACAGTGAAAAAATCAATACAAAATGTTTACAAATAACAATTCTGTGAAATTTTTGTACATTTAACGTGATGACAAATGCCTGCTTTTTATCATTATCAAATGGTGTAAGCTTTCAACTTTATGCAATAAATAAATATGTTGCATGAGAATATCCAAGTAAAAACAATAATTTTATTGTAAGTGTTCATTAGCAGGAGCTTTTATGGGCATTATGATACACGTACCAATGTTACTATATATTATGATCGTACTAGAAAGAACTTGAAATTAATTCAACTTACAAGAAAAGAAATGCAAAACAAAGTTGCCAGTTAAAATCAATTATAATACGAAATTGCAATCATATTTTATGAAGATAAAACAAAATGGTTAATCACAATGTTTTCCCTCTATATTGTCAAGTCGGATTCTGACTTTGATGGTATTTATTTATTGACATATTGATTGGAAAATTAATTTAGGTGTAAAAACATGTTTAGCAACATTATTTCTAGATAGTGTATCCAGATGAATG